CAAGGTGTCAGCAGGGCCTTGTTCCTTCTGGAAGCTCTATGGAAGAATCTGTTTCTTGCCTTTTCTAGTTTCTAGAGGCCGTCCTTGGCTTGTGGTCCTGCATCACTCTGACTTGTCTAAGTTGTCACATCTCCTCTGACTCAGACTCTCTTACCTCCCTCTTTCTAAGGGTCCTTATGATTATATTGGGCCCACCCAGAATAGATAATCCAGGATAGTCTCCCCATATCAAGATTCTTAACTTAACCACATCTGCAAAGCCTGTTTTCCCAGGTAAGGTAACATATCCCCAGGTTCTGGGAATTAGGATGTGCACATCTTTGAGGGGGCCACTATTCTGCCTACCACAACAGGAATATATGTAAAGAAGAATGGATGCATTCTCCAAGAACATTTATTTATGAGCATCAAAAGGTATTTCTGCCTTAATACACTGTTTATTTCATATATTTTGCACAAAGTATCTTCCTCTAATTATTATTTGCTGAATGGTGGGGGGGTTCACCTTCTATACATCACGTTAACATCAAAATTCTACTCCAAAGTCTTTTTTAAATTAAAATTACATAAAAATGTTAAAACTACAATGTTTCATTTTGTTGTTAGTGTCATCAGTTGATTCTGACTTCTAGCAACCCCGTGTACAGCAGAGCAGAGCCCTGCCAGGCCTGTTTGTGCCATCCTCTCCCCTTCTGGCGCTATATGAGATAGTGCTCTACTGCTATTCATAGGGTTTTCTTGGCCAATTTTTTCAGAAGTGGGTGGCCAGGTCCTCTTCTTAGTCTTAGTCTGGAAGCTCTGCTGAAACCTGTCCACCATGGGTGACCCTGCTGGTATTTGAAATACCGTGTCATAGCTTTCAGCATAAAGCAACAGCCAGCCACCACAGCATAACAGATGGGTAGCGTGGTTCTGGACTAGGAAATGAACTTGGGCCACGGTTGTGAAAGCACTGAATCTTAACCATTAGACCACCAGAGCTGGCCTAATGCTTCACAAGATCATCTAAAAAAGATCCCGCAGCACATAAACCAGCCTGTGTTTCATTTGTAGGCTCTTGACACAGATGAAGTTACTTTCTTACGGGTAAAAGGACACCACTAAATAGCATTCACCAAAGCAGTTAGTTTGCAGGGCCAAGCACTAGAGAGTAGAGCTACACAGAGAGGAAGCTTCAGAGACGATAAAAGCACGTGTGTGAGGGAACTGCCCAAAGCCTGGGAAAGAACTAACTAAAAGGATTAGAAGCAACAGTGCTCAATATTTGGAATTACAGATTTTTACCCTTTCAGATCCTCACCACCTTCAAGCTATCTTAGTGTTCTCTTTTGACCCTTTCAGTTCCCTCCTTAATGACTGTATACCAAGTTAACAGTTCTTTATATCACATTGTTTCTGTTCAGATCACTGCTGTGGTTTCTCTCTTCTGAACAGACCTCGACTGATGTGCTTCAATAGAATTTAATCTCTGCAAGGGTACGACTTACGTATGTTTTATTCACTGTTGCACAATGCCTTCTATATAGTGACTGATAAATATGGGTTGAATCAACAAATATATGGTGCTATATTTATAGAGGTTCACAAAAATGTTTTTCTTACTGTGGACTGAGGATCCAGCTCTAGAGTCTGCAGGAAATAAATACAAAATGTCCACAAAAGTACTGTTCATAATAATGAAAAATTAGAAACATGGTGTCTTTCAACAGAATAAGTTATTTTAATAAAATGGAGTAATAGTAATCAATAGTAATATTAGCTAGTAGTAATCAATTAGAGCTAAATATATCAACATGAATATAACTCAAAACCATTATGCTGGTTTTAATAAAGGAATAGTGCTCAGGATAAGGCACAAAGTATGAGGTGACAAAATGTTACCAGAACCACTGAAATTCATGACTGGAGTTTATACATGGTGGTGCAAAGCAGAGAGTAAACAGAAGTGAGTCAAGGTGAACTTGTAATTAAGCAAGTTAAGAGATTCAGCCTTGGTCTCAGGGCAGGAGGACACCACAGATTTTACTAAACAGGGCATCATAAAAAAACTCATTCTGACTACTGTGGTGGATGGACTGGAAGAAATAAGATTGGATGGAAGGATACCACTGACACTGCTGCAGTCAGCCCAAGGGCAAAATGTTACTGATCATGGGGAAGAAGAGAACACACGTGTTAGATACTTTAGGAGTTGAAATGGAAAATAATTGGTGATTAATTTTTGAAGGTTACAGAGAAAAGCAGTTGAGGATGAATTCCAGGGTTCTGGTTTGGGCACCCAGAAGTATTCATTGAGATAGGGAAAATTATATCGTCATATTTATAAATACTCTCTCATTAAGTCACTGTCTCCTTATTTATAATGTCTTACCTGATTAAGGACTTCAGATGTGATGTCAAATAATATATGTCTATGTGTGCACATAAAATGCTGTACATTAACACACTATATGTTCTTCTTTTCAAATATAGGATGCATACACTCACAAACAATTTACACAATACTGCTTTTACAGTAGCTATGACTTTTTAAATATATAATGGCTATATTTTTACTACTTTTTTCCTTTAGCTTAACAGCATAGTTGGGCAGTTAACACACCATCGTGATACAGTTACAGTTTTCTAAGTCTATTTTTCACTTTTCCCAGTGTGTTGTATACTTTCTATATTTTCATGCTGCTGATTAGCATCTTTTCATTTCAGCTTGAAGAACTCCCTAAAGCATTTCTTGCAAGGCAGGTCTAGGGGTGGTGAACTCCCTCAGTTTTTGTCTGGGAAAGCCTTTATTTAGCCTTTATATCTGACGGGTAACTTTGCTGGATAAAGTACTGTCGGCTGGCACACTACTTGAGCCTGTTCACCATCAAGATTCTCTTTACTATTCTGCATTTCCCTACATATTTATTTACTCTTACTGCAAATGCATTTTCTTTATATAGCTGTTCCAGGGTCATCACATAACTGGAATATAAATGCCTCCAATTATAAAAGTCTTAGAAAAGGCTGTCATTGGCTCAACTTAGGTCAAGTACTCATCGACGAAATACAATGTAGGGCTAGGAGGGTGGTGACCTACGACTGGCCCATTTTGGTTATGCACCAACAGTAGAACGATGTGGACAAGAATGCAGAGCCTACAAATGCAATAGCCACTCCAAAGGAAAATTCTGTATACAATAAAAAACTGACTTCAAATCAGTGAAATAGGGGTGAATGAATTAAACGGTGAAAGATCAGTTGGCTATTCATTTGGGAAAAAAAGTTGGATCTTTACTTCACACCATATTTAATCAAGCAACAACAGAGAGGGGTCAATACTTCAATTTAATTTAAACACATTTGTTTCATATGTTTTAAAGAGAAGATAAAACTGACGAAATGCAAAGTTCTAAAAGGAATCTTCTGGTATCAACTCAAGAAGCAGAAATTCCTTTCATATGATGGAATTATTGTTCAAGTTCTGAAATAAACGCCTTTACCTCTAATAACAGAAAACTCCAAGTTAAACTGTTCAGTATGTGAGGTAGGTGATATTATCTCCATTCTGCAGATGAGAAAATAGAGGCAGAGAGAGATTTAAATCACTACATAGGTCCCATAAATAAGTGGCAGAACACTAAATACAAATGCAGATAGTTCGTGGCTCACACAACATCTGGGCTTCACACTTAAGTTTATAGAAGTGCATCATTTAGATATATCACAAATGTAAAATGGAGATAATTTCTTCAACAAGCACTGCTTTTAATCCGTACAGTGTACTAAGTACTATTGTTTAAGGCTACTTTTGAAAATTAACTCAGATGTGTGTTATAAACAAACAGTTGTATGCCAGATCACTGCATACTTTAAGTAAATCTTGATTTTATGAAACATTGTTTGGATCATTTACTGAAAGCAAAGTTTGGTAACTACATCTATACCCATTTATATGTGCCACCAAACAGCAGAGAACACTTATGACATATGCTATTTTATACATTCAATGTTTCTTTTAAAATATATATTGTGGTGTAAATATATGATGAGATAACAATAGTTTTTAGTGTAGGAAATCCTAATATGTGTTACAAAAGTTATTTGAGAAAAGGCACATCATTTCCACTATACCTATTTTGGGGTCTAAAACAAAAATCAAGCAGACACAAAATAGTTGTTCAAGGGGCTGGCCTGGTAGTGCAGTGGTTAAGTTTGCATGCTCTGCTTAGGTGGCCTGGGGTTTGTGGGTTTGGATCCCAGGCGCAGACCTGCACACCGCTCATCAAGCCATGCTGTGGGGGCATCCCACATACAAAATAGAGGAAGACTGGCATAGATGGTAGCTCAGCAACAATCAACCTCAAGCAGAAAGAGGAGGATTGGCAACAGATATCAGCTCAGGGCCAATCTTCCTCACCAAAAAAAAAAAAAAAAAAAGTTGTTAGAAAGCATATTCACATGTATAAGCCTGACAGAGCTCAGAGGCTATTCACATACATTTAACACTGGCTGCTCTAACAATCCAATTCACTTGTGCCTTTTTTAAAGCTACATATTCCATGGTGAGTATGACTAGACGTAAACATACAGTGTTATATTATTAATAAAATATTTAGTATTGCATCCAACACATTGCTTCCAGAATAAGATTATTTCTAGATGACGTTTTTTTCCACATTTCCTAAACTGACAATTTTCTTTTATTACATGTTCTCTGATATATAAAGTTTAAAATTTTTTTCAAGATTGTAAGTCTTTAGTCTACTCTCAATTATCCAATGTTCAATAAGATTTGTTTCTTTGTGAAAATTTCATTTTTGGGTTTTTCCATTGTAAATTTCTGATTTACAAAATGTTTGACTTGTTGATCGTTTATTAACATGTAGGAGATTGACAGGGGTTTCTCCCCTACTGAATTCTCTGACATGCAATGTTTCTCACACTTTCATTAGATGCACAGAGAATATGAGATAAGGGATGGCTACAATACACAAAGGCAACAAATAGACCTAAACACAGAACGTCTCAACACAAGTTTATTTCTTGTTCATGAAAAGATTTAAGGGTGATGACAGAGAAGGAAGGACTCTGCTCAGGAAGCCTTTCAGAGACCCCAGTTTCTCCCAACTTGTGAATCTATAAACTCTAATGACTAGCTCCCAAGTTCCCAAGTTGACCAGAGAATGATCTTCATTGCCCTCTGACTGGGGGGAAAAAAGTGGGAAGTAGGAAAGATTCCAAACGCAGTCTTTTACAGGCTTGGAAATAATGTATATCACTTGGGCCCATATTCTGAGCCAGAGCTTGGTCACATGACCCCATGTGGGTGAAAGGAAGACTAGAAAATCTTGACTAGTTGTGTACCCACCAAAAAAAGGAAATGGGTATTGGGAAAAACACAGCCAGTTTCTGCCACATAGGGTTTCTGCCTTATGTGAATTCCTTGATGATTGGTAAGGGTTGATCTCTGGCAAAAAGCTTTCCCACATTCACTACATTTATAAGGTTTCTCTCCTGTGTGAGTTCTCAGATGATTAGTGAGGGTAGCTTTCTGACAGAAATTCTTCTTACATTCCTTACACTCATAGGGTTTTTCCCCTGTGTGAGTTCTCTGATGTTTAGTAAGAGCTGACTTCATATGAAAAACTTTCCCACATTCATCACACTGAAAGGGTTTCTCTCCTGTGTGAGTTCTCTGATGTTGATTGAGGGCTGACTTCTGGCAGAAGGCTTTCCCACATTCATTACATTCATAGGGTTTCTCTCCTGTGTGAGTTCTCTGATGTTGAATGAGGGCTGACTTCTGGCAGAAGGCTTTCCCACATTCATTACATTCACAGGGTTTTTCCCCTGTGTGAGTTCTCTCATGTTGAGTGAGGGATGACTTCCGGTAAAAAGACTTCCCACATTCACTACATTTGTAGGGTTTCTCTCCTGTATGTGCTCTCTGATGGTCTGTGAGCGCTGATTTATGACTGAAGGACTTTCCACATAAATTACATTCATAGGGTTTCTCTCCTGTGTGAACTCTCTGATGGACTATGTGGGCTGACTTCTGCTGGAAGGATTTTCCACATTCAGTACATTCATAGGGTTTCTCACCTGTGTGTGTTCTCTGATGCACTGTGAGGTTTGACTTGTGGATAAATGTTTTCCCACATTCGTAACATCTGAATATGCTCTTTCCTCTCTGATTTTCCTGAAGTTGAGTGAAGTGTGACATCCTGCTGGAACTATTTTCAACTTTATTGCTTTCATACTGTTTCATTTCTATGTAGATTCCATGACATTTCAAGAGAGATGACTTCTCACAGAAGGTTTCTCCACGTCCATTATATTCACAGAGTTTCTCTCCTGTGTGAACTTGCCTGTGTGAAATTATTACAGTCTTTTTTCTAAGGCTTTTCCACCATTATTATCTTTAAAAGTCTTCTCTGAAGTTTGAATATTTAGGTGCTGAACAATACCAGTATTATGACCAAGGGCTTTCTCATTTTGATTATTTTCATAAGAAATCTCTTGAGTATGAGCTTTTTCCTGCTTAATATCAAGTAACTTCTCATACACATTTAACATGTCAGGCTTCTCTCTTGGGGAGTTTTTACTACTACCAATTGATATTGAAATATTTTTCAAATTCATTCCACGTAAGTCATTTTTATAGGGCATTTTTCTTGAAGGAACAAAGTTTGTGATCATATTAGATGATTTTCTTAAAGCATTACCTTTCCCTAAAGTCAGTGTTTTGTTATTGAATGCAACGTGTGGCAAATATTTGTCTTGGTTTTCCTGGATTCTCTCTGTTAGGTCATGAGCTTTGCAGTCTTCTAGAAATGAAAATATTGAACATACCATGAGAATTTTAACAAATTCCTAATAGAATTGGACTAAGATACAGGTGTCCTTTTATATATTTGACTTTTGGTTTCAGTAGTCTCTCAGGATCAAAGTGCCTTTTCCCTGTCTAGTTTGTTTGGGAAAACAAATGGGGAAAAAAGGGAGGAAACACTATTAATAAGCAGACATGTAATTATTCAGCATTTTACAAATAAAAATTTCAAAATGGATAGAGATGAAGATATAAATTCAAGAAACAGTCAATAGAGAATGGAAGATTTTACTGGAGTGGTAGATCCAGGCAGGAGGAAAATCACAGAGAATGGGATGGGTCCTACTGAGCTAATGAAGAGTAATTGGAATGACAAGGAAAACCAGTGGACAAAGTTGTTGATGGGGAAAGTATGAGAAATTGAGGAGACAATTACAGAGTAGGTCTAACACCTTCAAACCCATACTGTTTTAGTAACATCCTGACAAGTTTTCATGTTTCCAGTTGAATTTTCCCTTATTTCCATTCTGCACATTAATGGCAAAGTAAATATCTGAATGCACCAATTGCCTTATGTTTAAGGGAAGAGTCGTTGGCTTGCACTCTAATTCCCCTTCTAACTATGATTCACAGGAATATCAATGTCCAAAAGAAAGTACAAAACAATGACAGCATAAGTGATCTCGTGGCAAGCTAGATCAGATGCCCCTGCCACAATACTAATACTTAATCTTGCTTTACATTTTACATCTCATATTACACATTTCAGTTATCTATTTAATATTAGAATTTAAGGATCATATTTTTCAACCCAATATCGGAAAATAACATGTATATTTATTTGCCATTTAAAAAGTCTTGTCCACATTTGTTACTCAATGCAACAAAGTCTATCCCAAGTTAAAAAAACCACTGACCTGAGCCAAGTACCACATGGAAAACTGTAACAAGTCATCATTCCAGCAAACAAAATTTACACCAACTTAATGCGCATCAGATCTTCAAGCTACCACTCTATGACTCCACAGTCACTGTCCTCTGCCCTAGTCAGCTCTTCGTAACATTAAATTGCTCACTCACAACAACAAGCTCAAAGTGTGTTCTCTCAGCTTACATTCCAGCCTTGGCTCTATTTAGTATCTAGAAAAATGACATAATGATATAATTATTCTAAATCTTCAAAAATGCCTTTTCAAATCCTCCTACTTTTAAAAGATTTACTTTAAATCTTTTAGATTTACACTAAATTTTAGATTTACTCTAAATCTAAAAGTAGTTCCTGTCTAGACCACTTGTTTTAACACAATCTTAGCTATCACTACTTTGTAACATACAGTATTGCAGCTACTGTAAGACACATATATTTAACATTCTAAAATCAAATGTATCTTATAATTGATTACAGACCTGTGACCAGCAGATCACAGTACAACGGGCAGAATATTTTTTCCTCAGTAGTTCATCAAATAATGGTCCAGTTACAAACTATAGCTTCTTAGACTTGAGAGAATATGACAAATTTTTCTCAATTAAATGCTGAATCTAAAATGCTTCATGCAATTCTATTTTCATTCTTCAATTCAGCAGATGGAAAACTTTTCCTTAAAGAGCAAAATAGTACATATTTTAGGTTTAGCAGGCCATATCTTCTGTCACAGATTGAACTCTGCTATTAGAGCGTGAAATCAGCCAAAACTCATATGTAAACAAATGAGTATGGTTGTATTGCAAAGAAATTTTATTCACAAAAACATGTGGTAGGTCTGTAGGCCACAGGTCACCAATCTCTGATCCAACTATAACCAATGCTCATAGCAAATGTTGTTAACTCTCTGATTTCCTTTGAACTTGAGTGATTTTAAATAAACAGACCTCAACAAGCTGTGTGTATCAGCATTACCTAAAGAGCTTTTTCAAATACAATATTTAGACACTGTCATTTTACACCTGATGAATCAGAATATATCTGAGCATGTTTTCAGAGAGAGTTACCTCATAGGGCTTTCAGAATATGAGCTTTTCCCTCTATCTGATTCTAATCAACATGTGTTTATCAAATGTCTATTTCAGGTTATACACCACAGTAAGAAAGAGTAACACAGGGCTGGCCCAGTGGCACAACAGTTAAGTTCACACGTTCTGCTTCTTGGCGGCCCAGGGTTCGCCAGTTTGGATCCTGGGTGCGGACATGGCATCGCTTGGCAAAAGCCATGCTGTGGTAGGCGTCCCACATATAAAGTAGAGGAAAACGGGCAAAACAAAAATACAAAAATAACACCACCACCACTAACAACAAAAAAACCTCGCTAACTACAATTAGGAATTGCGAAAAAAATAAAAGTATCAAAGAATATGGTTCTTACTGATGTCAGTGGAAAGTGAGAATGTGAGAAATATTAGAAGTTTACAAAGAAAAAACACTCAAGAATACAGAAGAAAAAAAGAATTGTATACTTGACAACTTTGTTACCAATTTCTGGTTTTATCAGACTGTAACTAGGGAATGCCATATTTTGACTTTGTAGGATTTATTGACGGTTTCCTTTCAGCATGACATACTTTCCCTTGTTTGCAAATGTTCGTTACGCATATTAAAGTATTTTTTCATTGTTTTTAGGTAAAAACCAAAATATAATCTTGTAAAACCAGGAAGCTATAATTTTGTTATGGTAATTAATCTTATTAAGTATGAAGCTGTAATTCCATTAATTAATTACCTATTTGTTTAGATAGCATCAAGTAATAATATACTACATGTAACAGTGAAATTAGTGTTTCTTCTATTCTTCTCCTCATGAACTAAATTTTAGTAGATTTTATTACCTTCCTTAGTTTCCATCTTTGTACCATTAAACATGCAAATGCCTATATTACTTGACTTGCCTGCATATATGATATCCTTGGACTATCCTAGTTTTTAACAACTAGAAAACCAGCTTACATTTCTTCTCAGGTATTTTCCTTTCCTCTTCCAATTTTAACATATACATATCCTTTTATACTTCCAGAGCAGGTCCACTAAGAAGAGATCCTTAGAAAACAGTTTAAATGTCCAAATCCTAAACTGACCACCTAGAACATAATTGCCTCTGGCTTCCTCTTGCCTGGTACTCACTAACTCACCTGGGTAGTTCCAGTATAGAAATGCTTCCTCTAATACCCACGGCTCCTCTCCTTGTTCCAACTTGAAGATCACCTCTGGCTTGCTAATGAAACACCCTGTAGAAGAAAAAATGACACAGAATTTGGGCCAGGTTGCACAGGCTACAGCAACTCAAAAGGAGGAAGAAGGCAGTTTTTCTGGAGCTGGACCTTGATGAGGCTCATTTACACCTGTTATAGGATGTGAGAATACAACTATTCTTCCTGGTGCTCAAAAGAGATTAACAATCTCAGACCCTTGAATCAAAAGCCTCAACAATAATAACCACAAGAGACCACAAATTTTGGTACCTAAGAAATAAAACGCATGCTATACACAGTTTGATATAGAAACTTTGCTTACCCAGTGAGACAAGGTTGTGGTAGTTCTCCAGCATCACGTCTCTGTACAGGGTCCTCTGAGCAGGATTTAGGTGCCACCACTCCTCCTGGGAGAAGCCCACAGCCACATCTCCAAATGACACCGACCCCTAGAACAGCACATTTCTGCTCAGTCTAAAGTGGTTGGAATCAGGGTAGCACAAAAAAGATGTATGGAAAGGAATTCTTACCAGGTTCACTGTTGAGAGTTTATGTTATAATATGCTGACTATGTACACTATTTTGTATTAGACTTTGTAGAGGAAAGAAAAATAATAGAATATCCTGCTTTTGTTCTAATTTATTAATGTTCTATGCCTTGAAATGTCCTGGCTGTTGTGGATATGAAGAATAAAACACTGGGGACCGGCCTGTTGGCGCAGCGTTTAAGTGCACACATTCCATTTCAACGGCCCAGGGTTCGCCAGTTCGGATCCCGGGTGCAGACATGGCACCGCTTGGCAAGCCATGCTGTGATAGGCATCCCACATATAAAGCAGAGGAAGATGGGCATGGAGTTAGCTCAGGGCCAGTCTTCCTCACCAAAAAGAGGAGGATTGCCAGCAGATGTTCGCTCAGAGCTAATCTTCAGAAGGTTAAATACTATACAAACACAATACACTCAAGAACACTAACATAAGGAGTTACTATAATATATTAGAATATATAAAAAGTATACTAGGGTCAGGAAAGAAAAGAAAAATTAACTCTATTTTGTGTCAATAGATTGTGCTTAATTGGAAAGGAAAAGCCTTAAGGCCTTAAATATGACAGATGTATGTTCTTTATGATTATGAGGCAACATAGTACAAACAAAATATTAGAGGCATTAAAAACATATGGGTTGACTTCAGTTTATGCCCCAGGATGTAGAAAGCAAGAAGGAGAATCATTCTCCTTCCTACAATGAAAACAAGCCCAGACTAACTTCAAATCCACAACTTTTTTTCTAACTTTTTGGAGAGCCAAGGTTGCAAAGCACCCAAGTGGCCCAAATTTAGGGAGAGAATGTATCTGCAAGAAGAGAGGAAATGTACCTTCTTGTCTACCCAAGTTGGACCTTAGGCAAGGAGAACTCAACGAGAATAGGTGGCATATTAATTGATGAAGACTGAGTGTGGGCTGGCACAGTGTGAAACCCTCATGGTCACAGACAATGACAGGGCTTGCACCTTCTCACAGGCTTTTTCTCCATGAATCCCACTGGGCACTTACTGTATTCCTGTGGGAAGGGCAGGTTTATGCAATGAGCCTACAATCAGAGCTGGGGAAGGGGTGGGAGAAGCAACAAGGCCACATCCCCAATACCCAGGGACACAGAGCATACCCAAGACTGAGGCTACCTCAGAACAATAGAACATACACTCTGTCCACCACTTCCCACAACCCCACATTCTAATAAGCTTAGAATAACAAGTACCAATAGAATATGGCTGACAGAGGGACAGGAGATAAATAAGAACATGCAGAGAGACCCTCACTGAGGCATAGATCAAAGAGAAAACCTAAAAACTCAGAAATTAACAGACACAACTCTGGCAAACTAACCCCTATCCTAAAATGCAAGGTATCTCTAGAGAAATCTGAAGACTGTAGTGCACTGAGGGTAATAACAGAAACAATGAGTCTCAAGTCCTGCCCAACTCCTAACTAGATTAACTCCAACCCCTGGACTAAAAGCCTAGCAGGAAAGTCACACCCATTTCCAGGAATAAAATCTATTTACCTGAGTCTAGAGTCAACACAAAACATGGGGATTTCAACCAAAAATCATGAAGCATATGAAAAGGAAGGAAACTAACAAGATACTACTAAGACAAAAAGTAATCATAAGAACCAGATTCAGATATGACATAGATGTTGAAACTAACAGAATTTTAAATAATTACAATTAATATGTTTAAATCTCTAACAGAAAAGGTGGACAACATGCAAAATTAGATGAGTGATTTCAGGAGAATGAACCAAATAGAAACACCAGAAATGAAAACATAGTAACAGAGATGAAGAATATCTTCAACTAACTTAACAGCAGTCAGCACAGTCAAAGAAAGAATCAATGAACTTGAAGATGGGTCAACAGAAATAACCCAAATTGAAACACAAAGAGAAGAAAAAATAAAAAAAAGGGAGAGAGAACAGAACATCGCAAAGCTGTGAAATACAATCAAATGTTCTGACATATGCATAATTGGGACCAAGAAAAGAAAGAAAGAATAGGACAGAAGAAATATTTTAAGAAATAGTGGCTTAAAATTTCTCCCAGTTTGGGCCAGCCCAGTGGCCGAGTGACTAAGTTTGCACACTCTGCTTTGGCAGCCCAGGGTTTCGCCAGTTCAAATCCTGGGCACGGACATGTCACCACTCATCCAAGCCATGCTGAGGCAGCATCCCACATGCCACAACTAGACGGACTCACAACCAAAAATACACAGCTATGTACCAGGGGGTTTTGGGAGAACAAGGAAAAATGAAATCTTTAAAAAAAAAAAAATTTCTCCCAGTTAATGACAGAAAACAAACCAAAGATCCAAGAAGCTCAAGAACACCAAGTAGCATACAATTTCCCCTCAAAGCACAACTAGGCACATATTAAAACTGCTAAAAAAACAGAGAGAAAATCTTGAAGGAAGAAGTAATACTTTCCCAGAAAAACAAAAATTTAAGGAATTCTTCACCAGCAGAACTGCTGTACAAGAAATGTTAAAGGAATATGACATCAGAGTAAAACTTGGGTCTACACAAAAAAATGAAGAGTGATAGGAATGGCTAAATAAGGGAAAAATTAAATTAATTCCTCCTGCCCCACTTTTTTTTTTTTTGGCTGAGGAAGAGTTATCCTGAGCTAACATCTGTTGCCAATCTTCCTCTTTTTGCTGAGGAAGATTTGCCCTCAGCTGACATCTGTTACCAATCTTCCTCTATTGTCTATGTGAGCTGCCACCACAGCAGAGCCACGGATAAGAATGGTGTAGGTCTACATCCAGAAACCAAACCCAAGCCGCCAAAGTGGAGCACACCAAACTTAATCATTAGGCCATCAGGGCTGGCCTGTTGCCCCAATTTTTAATTGCCCTACAGTAAAGGTTGGAAAAGTTTTTCTGTAAAGAGTTAGATAGTAAATATTTTAGGCTTTGTGGGTCATACAGTAAATACCGCAATTACTCAACTACCGTTGTAGCATGAAAGTAGCCACAGACAATACATAGAATACGTGTGGCTGTGTTCCCAAGAAACTTTACTTACAAAAACAGGTAGTGAGCTGAATTTCACCCATGGGCTGCAGGTTGCTGATCCTTGCTCTAAAGGAAACTGACTGTCTAAAGCCAAAGTAGTAGTAATACCGTACGCTAAAGCAAAACGCATGGGGCAAAAATAGCACAAAGGACAGGAGAGAAGAAGTGGGAATATACTGTTGTAGGGTCATTATACTAGATATCAAGTGGTTTAATATTCAAAGGGAGACTGTTATTAATTAAAAATGTGTACTATAAACCCCAGGGCAACTATTTTAAAAGTTAAAAGAAGAAGTAAAAATAGTAAGTCAATAGCAAAGATAAAATAGAATAATAAAAAATACTCAACTAATCCAAGAGAAGAAAAATACAAAAAGAAACAAAGAATAAAATAGAAAATAGCTGGCAAAATGGAACATTTTAATCCACCATAGTGATAATCAAACTAAATTGAATGTTCTAATCAAACCAGAAACAGACAGAGTCAGATCCAGTAAAAAAGCAGGGCCAACCATATACTATCTATAAGAAACTCACTTTAACTATAAAAACATATGATAAATTTAAGGTAAAAGGATAAAGAAAGAAATACCATATAAACAATAACCCAAAGAAAGCTGGAGCAGCTATATTAACATCAGACAAAATAGACTGCATAACATGGGATATTATCAAAGACAAAGAGGCCCATTACACAATGAGAAAGGGTCAATTCTCCAAGACAAAACCAAATGTGTATGCACCTAACAAAAGAGTTTCAAAACATATGAGGTAAGAACTGATAGGATTGAACGGAAAAATAGACAAAAAATAATAGGTGGAGACTTCAATATTGGAAAATTGGAAAGAATATAGAAGACTCAAACAACACCATCACTGAACTAAACCTAAGAGACGTTTACAGAACATGCCACCCCACAACTACACAGTATACTTTCTTTTTAAATGCACATGGGATAGTCACTAAAATAGATTGTATTATGGGCCACAAAATAAATCTCAACAAATTTACAAGAAAAGAAATCATACACATCATGTTCTCCGACCAAATATGAAATCAGTAACAGAAAGATCTCTGGAAATCTCCAATTACTTGGAAATTAGACAACACACTTCTACATAACCCATGGGTTGAACATAAGTTTCAGGAAAACGGGAAATACTTTACATACAATGAAAATACAACTTACCAAAATTTGTGGGATGCAGCTAAAGCAGTGCTTAGATGGAAATTTAAAATATTAAATGCTTTATTGGAAAAGAAGAAATGTTGCCAATCAATAACTAGTGACCTTCACCAGAACAAATTCAGGCAGATAATGGGAAAGAACCAAAACTGTATGCAATGAGTTAAAATGGAAAGATGATGTGCAGAAATATTTTCCAGAGAATATAATTTGAACTTTCTGCTGAAAAACCAGCATACGAAAACCTAAATAAAAACCAAAAACTTTCTTATGAAGGGTTACAGTAAATTATTTTGTACTGCCCATGCACCACTCCTCCAGATAGCAGGTTTTATCCCAGCTTTAAGCTGGACCATAGAACAGCTCTATCTAGACCCTGGTATTACGGTCCCTTGATAATCCATACCAGTTAAGCTTTGGCAATATACCCTCTGTTTCTACCATGCTCTCTTCCATCAGAGGCAACAGCCCTCATTTGTTTCAAGGTTGTTATGAGAATGTTGTTCTAATACAATATTTTGTATTACATGACCATTTTGATACAAAAACGCTGTTCTCAGACTTCAATGTCAGGAAAGCCTTTTATGTTCCAAGAAGAATCAGTCTGGCTTATTCTTATTTTCAATGCAGTTCCTGTGATAACGTCTGCTATTTCTCTCAGAGACAAACATACAGCTCAACACTAAC